ATCGAACTTGAACGTTGGCAATAAAATCTTAAAAACTGACTAGGTCCCGACTTTCTATTATCCATAAATGATTTTAACTTGGTGGGTTAGGACTTGATTCTAATAAGTTATATAAAAAAATTAAAATTACCAGAAAGAGGTTGTCTGTTACAATTGACTGAGTAAAAAGTTACAAAATTAACAATGTTATTTTAAAAAATAGTTTTTAAATGATTACATTTAAAAAATAGGATAGAGGAACCTGACACTATTAGACCCCTGTAAGAGATCAAACCGCTTGGTAAAATCAAAGGTTTCTCTTCGCCTTAAATTATAGATGTTTTATTAAAGCGAACTTGCGAAAACCCTCCTTTATAGCACAGCAGGCTCGCAAATACACTACCGAAAACAAAGAGACTCAACAGTTTTGGAATGGAGTAGTGAGGTAGCGAAACACCGGTGCGGAACTGCACAGTCTTGAGTCCCTAAGGCCAAACTGCTGAGATAAAGGGGTTTCTATTTTCTCACTGAGAACGATTTCAGGAAACCACCCGTACTACAAAGAATTTGTCTGCAGACTCCAACCTCGCAAGAAGAGGACCCGGTCCAGGTAGGCCATGTGAACGAGGAGCAGCGGTTAACCGATAAATATTTATACTGTGTACACAGCTAATTATAACAAGTGAATACGTTTTAGTGTCTGAGGGAGGGCGGGGTGGCCGAATGGGCTAACGCGTGTGCACAGCCCTGCAAGTTGCCAGGCAATCAGATAACCGAAGTTAAAAAAAGAACGAGTTCGCGTCCCGGTGACGGAGGGGATTTTAAATTCTCCGCTCTCACCCTCCGGCTCGGGAGAATCCCGTATAGCCTAAAAGGCGAGTATGGTCAATTCAGTTATCGTGCATAGGTTATTCTTATCAAATCATATAATTCTATATACTAGGGTTAGGATCCAAGTCTCACAACAGCATATCGATACTGGCTTTACCATCCAGGCACTCTGCTTTTGGTCTTCTACTTGTCTGTTGAGGCGTTCAGTGATGTGTAGAGGCTACCAGATGGATTTCATAAAGCTACATCTCCTGTATCTTAATGTAATTATCTTAATGAAAATTGAAAATCATTGAGAGGAGTAAAAGGAGGACCCACATCAAGGTAATTTATTATTATAAATTAATATCAATATTATTATAAATAGGATATTTATTAATAATTAAAATTAGATAATTTATATTGAATTATAGAAATGTATTTGATCATAAATTGAAATCTTCTAACTGACAAAACGTTGGTTGACCGTTGATTGGATTTCATAAAGCTACATCTCCTGTTCATAAAGCTACATCTTAACCTCCTTATAGGAATAAATAGGAGGTTACGGTAGCTAAGTACTGTACCGGAGACACAAGGGTGTAAATCTCAATTTTGTATTTGGATAGTAGGAGCTTACAGGAAATTTCTTCCTTTTTTTTTTTCGTTCTTCCCTACCTCGCCTTTTAGGCTATACGGGATTTTCCTGGGCAGGGGGGAGGGATAGGTGAGGGCGAGAACTCAAAATCCATACCGGCACCGGGACACGAACTTATACTTTTTAATCTCTCATAACTTCGGTTATTGGAGGTTACAGGAGCTTAACACATAAGTAATTAACTGAACAGCTGCATAATTAGTGCTACTTACAGAGCTAATCGGAGAGCTCCTTTAATCTCCTACTCTTCTAATGCTAAAATAAAATAAAATACGAAAGTCACTACAATTTTTTTATTATAACAGAGAGATAACACCTTCGATAACCGAAATGCTAATAAATGTTGGAATATTGTTTGTTTGTTTAAAATTGTGTTTATTAGTAATTAGCCAATGAAAATTAACCCTTCACAAACAGTATTTTCATCAATTGCGAAAAAATGTATGTACAAATCTTTTTCTGTAAGATTTCGGACTGGTCATATTTCATACGACTTTATAATATCAGCCAAAAACCAGTTCTTCGTATTGCCAAACAGTTAATAATTTTTTTTATATCTAAAGGCCATGCTTCGAATGTCAAATCGACATATCGTCACTTCCTCTGACCCTGGATGTTTACTTTCGCATTAAGTAAAATATATTTTTTTAAAGAGCCTTAGGCATCTCAAACATTTATTTCAGTTTAGAACGAAAATTAATTGATCAACAAATTTAAAACTGGTCATTTACACAAGCACATATCATGTAGATCAGCATAAGTTAAAGTAGTAGATCTGGTTAGAAGTTGTTAATTTTTAAGCCAAAAAGCGTCGTGACTATGACGATAACGTTGATGGTCTGACAAGTCAGGCCAAAAAAGAAAACTGTCCCTCGTATGTCCGAAACAAAAACCAAAACTTCAATCTATATATCATTATGAAGACAATTAAATATTAACGCGCATTCTAATTAGTTTGTCTGACTTATTAGATGTGTCTGAAGAATCACCCACGTGATGGATGTTCTGCAAAGATATCTACTGATTCAATAATTTATTCATATTTACGGAGACCATCTGATTACCACTTAAAAGTCAACTGAAGCAACTTTGGTACAACATATGAAAAAAGATTTGATGTACTATATCTATAGACAAGAAGAATCATAGTCGTCTATTAATCGCTACGTATTGGAGTTTGCAGAAAATAAGTAGCAATTCCTCTTTTCTTTCTAGATTGCATTTACACATGAAGTGTTTTTTTCGTCTTTTGGACCAAAGATGATGGTATACTATTAATATGATTTTCTGGAGGGCCAATAATCAATCTGGAGAAAGATAAATGAGATCAATAAAATAAGGGGCAGGATTTGACTCAACAAGTGGGTCGTAATGCAATTTAATATATATAATAAAATATGAGATTTTATTACACACATTGATATGTAGAAACTCGACCATTGAATAGAAACTTGTATAATGTTATACTTGAAGTAGTGAGTTGCTACTCACAACACTTCATTACTGAAAACAGTAATGGTATTTTACAGTAATAATAGGAAATGTAAAGTGGAAAATGAATAATTGATAACTAAATTAGATAACTACAAATTTTTTAGATTTATTGACTATTTTTTTTTACATGAAATAAGACAATGATAAGTCTGAAAGATCAAAAGATAGAAAAGTGCCCGGTATTCTTTTTAATATAGCAAGGTGTTCTTCATGAACAAGTTGTGAAGTTGTAACAATATTTTTACATTGTAAATCATTTCTTTCACAACATTTTTTTCCGAGGAATATGTTGACCTGTTTTATATAGGCTACATAATTGCCCGGAGTCACATATACCGTATATTTAAAAATTAAAGACAGTTATGTAAGTGATAAATATAAGAAATGTTGCCCTGCCCAACACAGGCATATTTCAAAAAGATGCTACCTTAAACCTGCAGTAATTCCCGCGCTATCTAAAACATATGTATGTTAATGGAGTCGAAAAGGACGTAACCGCAGAAGGAGTCCTGTTGCGCAATGGATAGCGAAAACATAACTTGAAGAGAAGGCAAATTAATTAAAGCAAGGCAGATATGATGGTTCACACCCGACCCTCTGAGTTACATAAAGAGTCAGGGCCCACAATAGCCTTCGCCTCAGTTGAGTAAGTCAGTCCATCTGGTTGCATCTCTACTGTCCCGCAAATACAATCAACCGCAGGGTTTAAACAATCTGTGATGTGGTATCTCTTAACAAGGGATGTGACCTCACGTTTCGAAATCACTATCAATCGGCATTCAGTATTTTCAAAGCTTTCAATACAATAAGTCGTATTTTGTTAATGAATGTAAATATTTCAAGTTGGCACCTATTCAATACATACATTTGCACATGTTAGTGCAATAGGCCGCATGTCAAATTTGAGTTTGTTTTTTTTATAGGCGACCATAAAAACGGATTATTTCGATATGATATATAATAATAAATATAATAACATAATATGAAATATAATAATATCATTATAATCTTTATAATATAATACGACAGTTTTTCTTCGTAACGATCCCTTTTCCGTCTCTGGTATTGAACGAAAGGGAATTAAATTTCATGGAAACAGTTATGAATGAAAAGAAACTTGATTTACAAATTATTTAAAATTGATTAAACCCACAATTATTTGAAAATTTACTAAATAACTTATAAAAAAATCACGTAGAGCTATTATAAATTAGAAACAATTCGAACCGACCCTAGGAGCAAAGTGGGTTCAAATAATTTTTTACGGAGGATTAGAGTTGAGATTTGTATTCAGCATCTCGAAAAAAACCTTAAATTCCAATTTTTATAGCGATCGAAAAATACATTTTTTTCTATTAATCGGAGCCAATCCCCTGCCCTACCTAGGATATTTTTTTAAAAATTACAAAAAGTATGATCACTTCAAGATGTTTCCATCTTTTCACACGAAATTTACTAGGGATTTAAGGCTACATAAACTAAGTGGAACGACAACTGGAGCCCCTAAATATTTTATAACTTGAGATACAAAATATAACCGTGATAGGAGTTTTTATTCATCTGCACCTTGGGGAGGTATTAAATCAAAAAGATAGATATGCGGCTCTGGAAAGCAATAATTTGGCTTTCCAGCGATTATAGTTGCACTGAATTAATAGAAAATTTTTATATTATATTGTCAGTTCTTCACTGACCAATATACTATGCGAATTATTCGCAAGGGGCAACTAGTTAGACATAATTAAATTTTAGTAAATTTTAATAAAGAAAATTAATCATTAACGTCCAAAACGAAATGAGATAAATATATATATCATGTTATTTTTATAATATTAATTATAATATAACCTACCTATGTTGTATTGTTAATTATAAAGACTGATTAAACATCAGCTGGTAATTTCAAAGTGAGGTAATGTATAACCTGAAAGTACAACTTCGAAATATGAAGTACTTACAAGTGATTACTATTAAATGTTAAAACAGAAAATCAGTTACATCGTTTATTTCATAATTTAGTTAAAATTATCAGACTTATTTGACTGAATAATCTTATTCAAATTATTATTTTTTCATCATCAAGTAACAATTTGCCTTTTGTTGTACATACTCGTCGAATTACGGAGGTGGAGCCAAGGTCGCATTGTGCCTAGGAAAAGGATATTAGAAAGGGAAAAGACCAGAATCCTGATGGCGGTAACTCCCTGTCGCACAATAGTATCGCCGATCGAGATAGCGCCTCAAGGCAGGCATCGGCGACTTGCGCAACAGGACGACTGCGTTTCGGAGAGCCGTGTTGGAGGTACATAGTTATCTACACCAAACTCATATCATTAGCGAAGATATTGTTTAAGGTATAATATAATAGATGGAAATTCACTAAAAAAAAAAAAAAATGCAACAGAATGATCGGTAAGATAATTCTGATAGATAATATCATTCTATGAGTTGCTAGCTCGAATAATCACAATTCGATAATCAAATAATAATAATAATCACTAATAGTGTGGGTACCTCATGTCCGCTTATCGGCGAACCAACCCCCATTTTATGAATTATACATTTAATTGTACTTCTCATTCCTCAATTTGAATATCTGAGATTTACATACATTCTGTAGTTGCTATTGTAGTATTTTTTATCAACATAAAATAAACTGATCGAAACCACAGTTCGAACAAATCTTTAATTTCTTTAAAAATCTATATTACACATCGCGCTTTATTACATTATTATATAACAATAATTATTCTTATTGACAAATTATAACCATAATATATATATTCAACTTGCATAGCTTCAAATAAGCCCAACATCAATTTGAGCCTTTTATTTCTAACATGTTCATTGTACGTATTTATTGTGTTCATTGTATGTATATTGTGCTTCCTTTTCTATATCATAGTAATTATAGTTACATGGCAATATAATATAAAAAATATTATGTATAGGTATAATATATAATAATATATTGTATTCTAGGAGAAAATGTCTGGATTGAAAAATAACTGCTGGCACCTAGAAAAAATCAATCAAACTACCACAGATGAAAACCATTTTTTTTTATTTGAAGGGTCAGCTGCTAATAGACGGGCATGATATCAAGAACTTTTACGAGTGAATGCTCTATCAATCAGTTTCTGGTGATATGCCTTTCGCTCATGTCCTCGCTGAATTCCCTGGAGTCATACATCCAACATCTTCAGAGATCCGGCAACCCAAGCGCGCAATCCTGCGCTAAATTGAGACTACAGGTCTTCCAGTGTTATCCAAGGCTCGACCACTGCTTACCACCACCAAACCAATGGGTGTGTTGAGCGATATTATTAATAATTTCCTTCTATTAATGAAATAAGTTCAGGTGAAGTAAATAGTTAAATATCCATTATTAATGAAAATTGAAAATCATTTAGAGGACTAAAAGGAGGACCCACATCAAGGTAATTTATAATTATAAATTAATATCAATATTATTATAAATAGGATATTTATTAATAATTAAAATTAGGTAATTTATATTGAATTATAGAAATGTATTTGATCATAAATTGAAATCATCTAACTGACAAAACGTTAGTTGACCGTTGATTGGTTTTCATAAAGCTACATCTCCTGTTCATAAAGCTACATCTTAACCTCCTTATAGGAATAAATAGGAGGTTACGGTAGCTCAGTACTGTACCGAAGACCAGGAGCTTACATGAGCTTTCTTACTTTTTTTCTTTTTCGTTCTTCCCTTTTAGGCTATACGGGATTTTCCCGGGCACGGGGGAGGGATAGGTTAGGAATAGTGTCGCTGAATCTCAGCACGGGCAACCTCTTCGATTTCCTAGAGAACCCTTCGCCTAGTTGCTCCCACTAGTCCGCAAGATCCACAGGAACATCCCATGTGGTTGAGAGATGTCATGTCTACTCTGTGGCGGGAAACTATTCGTGCATCCTGCGCTGAGCCCCTGTACCTATGTGATTCTGCGTGACGAAAAGATGGTTTAAAAAGAGCCACTATTGTTTTAAAAAATATGCAGTTTAGTCGCTAATGTGAGAAATGCCAAATTATTACCTAGCGGCATAACAATTGTCTATTTTGTCGGCTGTATTGTACTATTTTTGCTGGAGTTGCAACTTTGTTAATTGACAAGTGATATTTTATTTTTTGCATTTTTCGTTTATAAAACTTAACCTTTATTCTGTAATTAATTTTCTCGCAGCTGCATTTCTTATTTTTGGTATAACGTTACTTTTATTTTTTATATTTGTAGAATTTTAGTACTCAAAGATTTTTTGTATTTTTTCCCCCAAAATTGAAGATGATTATTTCTATTTTTAGTAGAGTATTTATTGAATGTACCAACCAGAATCCCTTAAAAGTTAGGAACAATTAGGAATACACTTAATATGAAATAATGAATAACATAGGCTAAGATGAATATTAATAATAAAATTATTATATTTAATCATACGCAAAGCATAAACGCAACGGAAAGAAAAAGTGGTCCCGTGTTAAAGGGAAGTAATGAGTCTTTTTATTTGTGCATGGTAAGTATAACAATGAGTGAAGCAAGTCAGTCGTCCACTAGTTTAGTACGAAGAACCGCTCTTGTATAAAATTTACAAGTTGGAACTAGACAGTATGGGTTATTATTCATAGTGAACATATGGCGATAGCCAGTTAATTTTATAATTTTTTAAAATATAATATTCATTATTCCAAGAAAGAACTAAAGTGCGAATGCGTAGAGCGGTTCCGTGTTCCGGTACAGTCTATTACTTTATTGGAAAAGTATATTTAGTGGATAACTAGCACAAATAGGCAGTTTCTTGCCATTCTATTCATGCTTTGAAGTTAGTCTGATATTATCAATTTAAAAGGTAGCAGGTAGGTACTCTCAGTTAATATCCTCACTCTATTTCGAAAAAGTTTTACTTGATTAACTTTTCGTTATTCAAATATAATCGGAGCATCTGCTCGAGTTTTGAAAAAAAAAAAAAAACACGGGCTCATACAACTGAGCTCCTTCATCTAATTAATTTACTCATTTGAAGATAAGCCCAATTATCTAATACATTATATATTTTATAATAAAATTAAAAAATATATAAACAATCCTATATATTATTTCTAAAAGGTGTTTTTTTGTCGGTACGCCATAACTTCGTCAATTCTTCATCAAATCCAATGATTGACTACTCATTTTGAAGATATTCTTCTCCTTCACAGGCGAAATATAGTCCTATCCCCCCCAAATTTTTGGGGGAAAAGTTATGGAGGAAAAGAACCTTTATTTGCCAATAAATGCATTTTTTACAGGGCATACCTGTATTGTGCCCATGATAATTAGAAAGATTACTAAATTATCTACAAAACAAAAAAAAATCGTATAAATCGGACAATTATTAACAAAGATGCAGCCCATTAATTTTGGTATACTTAATAATGTCTTCCGGTTTAAAGATATTGTATTTAGGAGTAGAATAGTCTAATACACTTTTTTTCTGGCTGATATATTAATTTTATTATTTCTTAAAGCCATTTGGTTGTTCTTACATTTTACTTTTTTTAATAATTTAGAAAATCCCATGATCGGGGAATTATTTTCCCTTTATTACTTTTATTATCTTTCCAGTCAGTGTTTAAAAATAGGTCCTAGCAAAGCAATTTGTACAAATACTTTGGTCTATTATGTTTAATGGAATACTGTAATCGACCAAGGAAAAAATATTAATTCCTTCCTTAATAATACGTACGAACTACTTATTTCCATATTGTTTTGCTATTTTTTCAGTAAACAAAATTTTCTTCGAATTACTCGTACGGGCCAACTAGTATTAATATAATAATAATTATAGTTAATTTCTTGACAGTAAATTTCAAAAAATTGGTGAAGGGAAGAATTCTACTTGGCAAGCGATGAATATTTTATAGTTGACTTAAACCAGAACGTTGCAGTACTGTGCCTACATGTCCGGTACCACCTGTTAATCGAGTTTAAAAGGCTTAAAACGAACAAGTTAATAAAAATGACCTATATAACGAAAACATTTACCGTCACACAGGAAATTTTTGAGATATGACCCGTTTTTGTAATAACTACATGTTACTATCATCAGTATCTCGCCGTTTCTACAGAAGACATGTTCGCTGAGAGACACAGATGATAATCGCCATGACCAATGGCATCGGAAGAGGTACCCGCAGCCACTCGCTCCCAACTCCCCATAGGCCCCATTGCATAACGCTGCGGCAGCGGATCTCCCAAAAGAGAAACCCCTAAAAAGAGGACGATTAGAGGCAGCGATGGCAGCAGCTCGCCCTGGCGGCAGGATGAGGCCATTAGCCGCTTGTGTAATTGCACAGAGCTGACCCAGAGCCCAGTTCCGCTGCCACCTTGATCCACTTCGCGACGAAAGGGAACTGCCGCTCCGCTCTGAGGCGGTATTGTGTAATCGGCCGATTTATTAGTCATTCAGAGATAATCCATTTATTAATAGCAGTCGTCTTTTGGGCACCTGCGAATGTAAATATTTTTTATCTTATCTCTAGGGAAACATTATTCTATAAACATCTCCACTAAATTTGACAACGAATCATATCAAAATAAGAAACTTAGCATTATACAAAAATAAAAAAATGTTTAATTGTACATGATGCAGGACTTGTTCACACATTATAACAGAAATCGATCAATTTTTTTAATTTAAGTAGTGTTGAAACATTAAGTTGATAAGGCTCAGAATGTTTACACGATTTGGAACAAGGTTGAAAAAACTTCCAATTCACAATTAAACCATTATTATTATGGAAATATGTTCCAAGTTACCCACCAACTATGTATGTATCAATACCATATCTCCTAATAGGTTTACAACAAAACAAAAAATATCTGAAGAATAAACAAAAATAGAAACTTTATTTTTCTAAATTATTAAGAAACAGCATTCGAGGATAGAATAGCTACCGAGATGAGAATTGGTAAATGCAGTTAACATGTGAATTTAGATTCCGAAATATTTTCAGTCATTTTTTTTTAAATTTATATAATATTTTAATAAGTTGCTTGGCAATAATAACTTCCAATTATTAACAAACGAGTATATTTTTTAACATTACATGTTACAGTCTAGTTGACGTTTCGGGACCTTTTATTCCCATCTTCAGAACTGCAATTCCAATACTCTTGTGGATGCAAGGCTTAATTCTAATGATTACAATAATGTGCTCCATCGTCAATTTTCTAATTTATGTTCTGAATTTTACCATCTAGAGCAACATTCTCCTTTTGACCAATAATTGGGTTTCTACCATAGTGACTACTAGACTGTAACATGTAATGTTAAAAAATATACTCGTTTGTTAATAATTGGAGGTTATTATTGCCAAGCAACTTAATAAATTGACAACTTCCCAGGAAAAAAGAAAAAAGTATAATATTTTATTTTCACTGATTGATTATGTATTCAGATAGAATCCGAGTTTATATATTTTTTAATAACTTTATTCTAACATTTTTGGGCAAAAAAATAAAAAATATTTAACAAGTTAGTTTAAGTAATTTCAATTTGGATGGCAAACCATCTTGATCTTGTCGTATAGCTAGCTATCTTCTGAAACATACTAACTCGTCGTTAGTTGCGGTCCTGATGCAAGTTCTTCGCCGAATAAAGCTTTTTTTTAACATCAGTTAAAATTCCTCACCACATGAATTACGTCAATATCATCCCACGCTGACCGATCGACCGATGGTGATGATGATCCATTGACCGATGATTATTGAAATTAAATTAAAGAGAAAAAATTCAGAAACACGCTTTAGATATATTGATTTAAAAAAAATTGACAACTTAATGAAATTCCACCGAATTTCCAACGGACCTTTCGTAAAACATTTCGTAATAAATCGGTAATCGATAACGCATATTTCAGACTTGTGATTTCGTTCATATGCACAACCTTTTATACCTCAATGACCATCCTGAATATGATCCAACGGAATAATGTTTCAAATATATTGATTGATAATTTAACAACATGTAAATATGATCCGACCAATTCTTTCATGCCTGTGCAAACATATCGTCTTAATTTTACTTACGAAAAAAGTCGAAAAAATATAGGAAAATGTTGCATCAATTACTCTTTGTCCCCTATGCCGCTGTGGTTCAATTGTGGGCCTAAACAGCTCCAGCTCTTCTTTACCGACATTGGCATTCATATCTCCCATAATTATTTTTAAATCATGTCCA